ACTGATCTTCTGTATTAAGAGAATTGAAAATGAATCCTCATGTGAATGGAAGGGGAGAGGGAATGGGAAAGGGGAGGGTTGCGGGTGGGAGGGATGTTATGGGGGGAAGCCATTGTAATCCATAAGCCATACTATGGAAATTTATATTCATTAAATAAAAGTTAAAAAAATAAAATAAAATAAAAAGTGTCAAGAGGAATTTTTAAAAATTTTAGATCCAAGGTGGCTGAAGAGGGAACAAACATACTGATTTTGACCATGGAAAGATACTAGAGAACAGGGGAGGGAATGCATTCCCAGGGGACAGTTGGAGAAAAGTTTGCACTGGAAAATCTACAGAAAGAAAAGAGACACCACGGAACAGTGGAGATGGTACAATCATGCAGCAAGTAGGACACTGCCAGCAACTTCCACAGCCAGGGGCTGGAAGGGATGCCGTCTTCTCAAAGCAAGTTGAGAGGAACCTGCACCAGCTGTGCCAATGGTGATATTGCCTGAGGGATAACCTTGCAGCCCCCACTGACTTTTCAGTTCAACCTAAAGCACTAGCAAGTGGCAGGATGTCCACTTACCCCACTGAAGGGAGAGCACATTGCTTTCCTCCCCTCCCCCAACTAAGGTACCTGGCAACAAGAACAAAGGAAGTGCCATCTTAACAAGGTGAGTAGATGCTGCTGACGCCCATGCACAACAGGGGCATTTTATCAGAGGATAAATCCACAGTCCCCACTGTCTTTGGCCTTCAGCATTGGTGGAGGGCAGACCATGCATATAGGTCCATGAAGTGACAGCACATTGCTACTCCTCCCCTTGGTCAAGGCACCAGACTCAATTTGCCAAGGCAGAGCACTGACCAACCTCGGTTAGGCAGGCAGCTTGTTTCAGGAATTCTGTGGCTCTCTCTGTGGATAGAGATGTTCAAGGGGCTGAGTATGAGTGGATCCCCTGCACCCTGTGACTGTGGGAACCCTGTGAATGTATAAATGAGGTGAAATAAAAATCTTCTAAAACAAACTAATTGAAAGCACTTATCACCATTTGTTAAGTTTTACAAATGATGCTTAAGGATGTACTACCCAGAGGAACAGTAGGAAAATAGCATCATGAAAGAATGTGAAGGCAGAAAAATCTCAGAGTAAAAGTACAAAAGAAACCCAAAACGAACACTAAAAATATTAATAAAAAATGACAGGAACAAGTTATTACTTGTCAATAATAACTTTCAATGTAAATGGCCTAAATTATTCAATTAAAAGATAAAGACTGGCTGGAATAAAAAAACAAGACCCATCTATTTGTTGCCTATAAGAAACACACTTCACCAACAAATGTACATACAGACTGAAAGTGAAAGGATATAAAAAGATATTCCATGCTAATAGAAAATAAAAACTACAGGAGTGGCTATCCTAATGTCAGACTTTAATGGCAAAACTGTTAAAAGATACAAAGTAAGGCCAGTGCTGTGGCTCATGTGGCTAATCCTCCAATTGCAGAACTGGAACCCCGGATTCTAATCCCAGTTGGAGCGCCGGATTCTGTCCCCATTGCTCCTCTTCCAGTCCAGCTCTCTGCTGTGGCCCAGGAAGGCAGTGGAGGATGATTCAGGTGCTTGGGCCCTGTACCCACATGAGAGACCAGGAGGAAACACCTGGCTCCTGGCTTCGGATCAGCACAGTGCCAGCCCTGGTGGCCATTTTGGGGGTGAACCAATGGAAAGAAGACCTTTCTCTCTGTCTCTCTCTCACTGTCTAACTCTGCCTGTCCAAAAAAAAAAAAAAATACAAAGAAGACCATTATATAATGATTAAGGGTTATTTCAACAGGAAGATGTCACTATAATAAACATATGTGCACCCAAAGCTAAGGCATCTGGCTATTTAAAACAAATGTTAATGGATCTAAAGGGAGACATAGGTTCCAACACAGTAATAATGGGGGATTTCAACATTTCACTTTCTTCAGTGGTGGATCAACTAGAAAAAAAAATCAACACAGGGGGAAAAAAAGAGCAAATCTACACTATTGAACAAGTGGATATAATTGATATTTATGTAACATTTAATCCCACACCAGAAGAGTACACATTTTTGTCATCAATGCATGAAACTTTCTCTAGGATGGACCATATGCTAAGTCAAAAAACAAATCTAACAAAATTTTTCAAGTTGAAATCACACTATGTATATTTTCTGACCACAACAGAAAAAAGCTATAAATTAATGATTTAAGAAACTATAGAAGGGGCAGTGCCATGGCACATTAGGTTAATCCTCCTCCTGCAGCACCGGCATCCCATATGGGCGCTGGTTCTAGTCCCAGTTGCTCCTCTTCCAGTCCAGCTCTCTGCTGTGGCCTGGGAAAGCAGTGGAAGATGGTCCAAGTGCTTGGGCCCCTGCACTCACATGGGAGACCAGGAAGAAGCACCTACCTCCTGGCTTCAGATCAGCATAGCTCCGGCTTATTGCAGCCATTTGGGGAGTGAAACAATGGAAGGAAGACCTTTCTCTCTCTCTCTCTCTTTCTCTCTCTCACTGTCTGTAACTGTACCTGTCAAATAAATAAATAAAATCTTTTTAAAAAAAGAAACTATAGAAAATATGCAAACACATGAAGACTGAATAACATGCTCCTAATCAACAGTGAGTTATAGAAGAAACCAAAAGGAAAATCAAAAAAGTCCTAGAAATGAAAGATGACAACATAACATAGCAAAACTTATGGGATACAAAGAATCAGTGTTAAGAGGAAAGTATATAGCAATTAGTGCCTACATAAAGAAATTGGAAAGGCATAAAATAAATGATCTAAGAATACTTCTCCAGGATCTAGGAAAAAAAGAACAAACTCTGCCCAACATTAAAGGAAGGAAATAATTAAAATTAGTGAAGAAATGAACAAAATCAAAACAAAAAATGATACAAAATATTAGCAAAATGAAGAGCTAGGTTTTTTGAAGAAATAAACAAAATTGATATACCATTTCCCAATCACCCCCCTCCCAAAATGAAGAAGTCCAAAGTAATAAAATCAGACATGACAGTGGGGATTTTACAACAGATACCACAGAAACAAAAAGAATCATCAGGAATTATTACAAACATTTGTATGACAACAAATTGGAAAATCTAGAAAAAGGTTAGATTCCTGGATATTTACAATATACCAAAATTGAGTCATGAAGACATAGAAAGCCACAATAGACCAATAACCAAAATGGATATTGATCACTAATAAAGGACCTCCCAACATAGAAAAATCCCAGGACCAGATGGCTTCACTGCTGAATTCTACAAAGCTTTAACAGAAGAACTAATTCCAACTCTTCTCAAACTATTCAAGACAATTGAAAGGGAGAGAATCCTCTCAAAGTCCTTCTATGAGGCCAATATCAATTTAATTCTAAAATCAGAATAAAGATACAACAAAGAAAGAGAACAATAGACAATATCTCTGATGAACATACATGAAAAATCCCTTACAAAATATTGTTTAATCAAATCCAACAACTCATCACAGAGATCATTCAGGGGCCAGCACTGTGGCATACTGGGTTGTCACTGCCTGCAGTGCTAGTATCCTTATTGGGTACCAATTCTGTTCCCAGCTGTTCTACTTTTGAGTCAGCTTCCTGCTAGTGCACCCGGGAAAGCAGCAGAAAATGGCTCAAAATTCTTGTGCTCTTGCACCCATCTGAGAGACCCAAAAGAAGTTCCTGGCTCCTGGCTTTGGTCTGGTTGTTGTGGCCATTTGGGGAGTGAATCAGCTGATGGAAGATTTCTCTCTCTCCCTATCTCTGTAACTCTGCCTTCAAATAAAATAAATTTTTTAAAAAAAATCACTCACCCAGACCACATGGAATTCATCCCTGGAATCCAGGGATGGTTCAACATTTACAAATCAGTAAGTGTGATAAATCACATTAACAAGCTTTAGAATAAAAGCCATATGTTTATCTCAATACATATAGAGAAAGCATTTGATAAAATACAACATCCTTTCATGGTAAAGCCTTAAGCAAATTAAGTATAAAAGGAACATACCTCAACACAATGAAGGCAGTATATGACAAACCCATAACCAGCATCATGTTGAATGGAGAAAAGCTGGAAGAATTTCCACTAAGATCTGGAAACAGACAAGGATGCATAATTTCACCATTATTCAGTATAGTCCTAGAAATATTAGCCAGTGCCATGAGACAAGAAAAAGAAATTAAAGGGATACAAATAAGATAGAAAAGGAGTCAAATTATCCCTGTTTGTGATAACACGATTCTATACAAAAGAGAACCAAAAGACTCCATTAAGAGACTATTGGAACTCTTATGAGGGTTTGGAAAAGTTGTAGGATATAAAATCAACAATCAAAAAATCAGTGTCCTTTGTATACACAAAAAAATGCCATGCCTGAGAAAGAACTTACAATATCAGTCACACTCACAATACCTACTAAAAATTTAGATAACCTAGAATAAATATAACCAAGAATGTAAAATGTCTCCACAATAAAATTTATAAAACATTAAGGAAAAAAACAGAAGACACAAAAAATTGAAGAAAATCTTCCACATTCATGGATTGAAAGAATTAATACCAGAATGTCCATACTACCCAAACAAATTTACATATTTGCTGTGATCCCAGTCAAAATACCAAAGAGATCAAAGATCTGAAAATGATGACACCCAAAATTCATATGAAATCACAGGAGACCAGGAAAAGCTAAAGCAATCTTAAACAATAAAAAATAAAGCTGGAGTCATCACAACACCAGATGTCAAGACATATTACAGGGTAGTTATAATCAAAACAGCCTGGTATGGCACAACAATAGACAATGGAGCATAATCCAGTAGAACAGACTAGAGATGCCAGAAATTAATCCACACATTTTCAACAAACTAACCTTTGACACAGGAGTGAAAATCACTCCCTGGAGAAAGATTAGTCTCATCAACAAATTGTGCCCCAAAAATTGGGTCTCTGCATGCAGAAGTATGAAACAAGGCTCCTATCTTACATCCTATACAAAAATCAACTCACAGTGTATTACAAATCTAAATGTAAGACCTGAAACCCATCAAACTACATGAGGAAAACAGAAAGGAAACATTGAAAGACATCAGCATAGGCAAATACTTCTTGGATAAGACCCCAGAACACAGACAAAAAGTCAAAAATAGACAAATGAGATTATATCAACCTATGAAGTTTCTGTACAGCAAAGGCAACACTCAACAAAGTAACAAGTAAACTGACAGAAAAGGAGAAATATTTGCAAACTATACATCTAATAAATGATTAATATCCAAAATGTATAAAGAAGGACTTAGGAAACTCAACAACAACAACAACAACAAAAACAATCCAGGTAAGAAATGAACAAAGGGCATAATGGCCATTTTTCAAAAGAGGAAATTCAAATAGCTAACAGACACATGCAAATGTGTTCAGGATTACTAGACATCAGGGAAATGTGAATAAAATTACAACGATGCTTCACTTTACCCCAGTTAGAATGGCTATCATCTAAAAATCAAAACAAATGTTGTTGAAGAAGTGGGGGAAAGCTCCCCTAATACACTGTTGGTGAGAATGTAAACTTGTACAACTATTATGGAAGACAGTATGTAGATTCATCAGAAATCTGAAAATAGATCTACCATGTGAGTCAATCATTCCACTCCTGGGAAATTACCCACAGAAAATGAAATCAACATAAGAAAGAGTTATCTGTACCACTACATTTATAGCAACTCAACTCATACAACAGGTAAGATATAGAATCTCACACATATACACACACTAACTGATTTGTTCATCCTCCTAGGGTCATTTAGATCACTCCATCCTATCCTGTAAATCTACCTTTCATTATACCACATTTACCTGTTACTGAGACATAACCTGAGACCCCACATAATCTTTGAAAGTCTATTATATCCAGGGATTTATACCCTCAACATCTACTCTGTCCTCAAATAGAGCTTTCTCACATACAAAATGTTTTCTTTATTCTACAAAATCAGAAATAGACTCAGCAACAGTGCACTCCCCCTTATTTCCTCATAAAGATCCAAGTACTAAAGACCATTACTAAAGAACAGAGTAACCTGTACCAAAGAAACAAAGCCCAACAAAGAGGGAGATGAGGGCATGACAAACACAATCATGCAACCATTAAAACATATTTATACTTCTTTCTCTAAAATCCCTTTGAGGCCATTCTGCTAAACAGTCTTAATTCTTGTTCACTCACAATTTCATCAATGTACAGATCAACTAGACAGAAAATCAACAAAGAAACAACACAGACACTCAACACAGTGCATCACATGGACCTAACTAATGTATAAAGAATTTTTCTTCCTACACTTGCAGAACACACATTCTTCTCATCAGCGCATGTAACTTTCTTTAGGATAGATCACATGCTAGGCCATAAAGCTAGTTTCAGCAAATTAAAAAAAAAAAAACATTGAAATCATTCTATGCATTTTCTCTGACCACAATGGATTGACACTAGAAATCAACAACTCAAGAATCTATAACATATGTAAACACATAGAGACTGAACAACATGCTGCTGAATGAACAGTGGGTAATAGAGGAAATCAGAATTCAAAAAGTTTTTGGAAACAAATGACAATGGCAATACATCATATTAAAAACTTATGAGATACAGCAAAAGCAGTGTAAAAAGGGTAGTTTATAGAAATTGGTGCCTATATCAAGAATTGGAAAGGTAACAAATGAGCTATCAATGTATCTCAAGGACCTAGAAAACCAGCATCAAATGAAACCCAAAACTAATAGGAACAAAGAAATAATTAAAATTAGAGAATAAACAAAATTTAAACAAAAATACAAAACATTAGTGAAATAGTTGTTTTTTTGAAAAATCTAAACAAAATTGATACACCATTTGCCCAACTAACCAAAAAAAGAGATAAAGACCAAAATCAATAAAATCAGAGATAAAAAAAAAAACATAACAACATATACCATATAAATTACACAAATAATGGAATTACTACAAAGACCTGGATGTCAATAAATTGGGAAACCTAAAAGAAACAGATAAATCCCTAGACACATAAATCTACCAAAATTGAGTAATGAAGGCATAGAAAAACTAAATAGACCAAAAACCAAGACAGAAATTGAGTCAGTAATAAAGACTCTTCCTACAAAGAAAAGCCCAGGACTGGACAGCCTCACTGCTGAATTCTACCAGACATCATGACTTGCAGACACCAGCATTGGGCTGTGTCTAATATATGGTCTAAACTGTTTCTTACTTTCTTTGTGATGCACAGAAAAGTCTGTCTGCCATCCTTGATCTGAACATTTACAAGTGTCTATTTTTCTCAGGGGATTCTGGTCTCAGTCCCCTTGTCCTTCCTTCCCCACAAGTGAGGCAGCAGGAGATGATCCACATTGCAGAATGAATTTATTGTTCTCAGTTTGTCTTCACACAAAGGTTTAGAAGCTTTGCCAAGTGACTTGGATACCATAACTTTGATAACCCCAGAAATAAGGTTATCTGGGGAGGAAAAGTTGGAATGCCATAAGGACGGAAATGGGTCCTCTCTCTTGCTGAAGATCTGTATGGATTCAAGGACCCTGAGGGGAAGGTCCCACTTCCTCCTTGTGCAAAAGCAGTTGGCATGATTTTCCAGCATCTTTTGTTTGCCAGAACCAAGGAAATAGATCTCCTGAGAAGTATTCAGGTTACAGTTTCCATTCACAAATGGTGCCACATCTACCTGTTTCATTTGACTGTGAGATTACATTTAACTATGAGATTTCTTTTGACTGTAAGCCACAGCAAGAGTCAGTGTCTGATTGATGGCATACCATGAATGATGTACAGTTTCAGAGATTCAACCCTTGTTGATTTCCTCAACTTTCTTATTCAAATGATCTTTCAGTGCATTTTCTAGTTGTTTCTAATTTACACTTATCCCTGAGGCGCTTGAATCATTCCTTGACAAACTCATTATATAACTTTCAAGATTTTTATCAGAATTAGATCCTGAATTATTTTTTTAAGATTTATTTATTTTATTTGAAAGACAGTGTTACAGAGAGAGGTAGAGACAGAGAGAGGTCTTCCATCCACTGGTTCACTCCCCAGATGGATGCTACAGCCGGAGCTGCACCAGTCCGAAGCCAGGAGCCAGGAGCTTCCTCCAGGTCTCCCATGAGGGTACAGGGGCCCAAGGACTTGGGCCATCTTATACTGCTATTGCAGGCCACAGCAGAGAGCTGGGTCGGAAGTGGAGTAGCCAGGACCAGAACCAGTGCCCATATGGGATGCTGGCACTTCAGGCCAAGGCTTTAACCTGCTACTCCACAGCACTGGCCCCAAGAGCCTAAACTCTTATCTGAGGATCCCTCTGGGTCATTCAATATATGATTCCTTGGGCCAATCCTTGGGTTGTGTCCTTGATTCTTTTTCTCATTTCTACATGACTGAAACTTTTCTGTGTTCTGCTCATAGAAGATTACAGGTTGGCTCAATTCAAAATTTCTTAAGTCTTTGTTGCTCTGACCATTAGACAAAGATATCCATGACAGTCCATGACTGCATGACTGCTCTTTGGCTCAGATATCACAAGAAATTCTTTGAGGATGAATCTGTGTCAGGTATTCATGGACCCTACAGTGCAGGCCCAATTGGTGCTGGATGAGCCTCTTTTGAAGGTGATGTTCAAATTTCTTATGAAGCTCACTCCTCATAGGGTAGGTTCCAGGAAGGATGGAGACTTAAGCATGTACCTTGGAAGACTGGGTCATCCATAAATGGTTGAGGGCTGCAGAACAAAAGTATTCCTGAGATCTTTAGAGCATAGAGGGTAAAGTTCAGATGGCATGAGACTGTGTGTCATTCTGGGGTCTAAAGAAGCACACTCCACAGATCCTAATCTGGGATAGGCGAGATGTTGGTAGCATTGGGATTGGGGGTTGAAGGTGGGACTGATACTGGGCCTGAGTAGCATTTTGTCACTGACATTGGGAGAGGGTTTTTGATTATGGTTGAGATTGGACCTCAGGTAATATCAGAGGTTGGGAATTGGAAAGTACTAGAGATCCTTGAGATGTGGAGGCTTTGGAGAATACACTGAAGAAAACCAAGGTTGAGGGACAGTCATTTGAATGTTGGATAATAGAGTGCAAGGACTCACTGTGCAGAGACGTAAGATCCGAAAAGTGTGGTAATTGGTTCTCAGAGGTCATAGGAGATGGAGACTGCTGAAGCATGTGATGCTCTTCTGGTTTCCCTTTGCTGTTCCCAGAATAAAGGGAAACTGCTGAGTCATGCTTATCAGCATCTGCTTCTAACATTGGCTCCGAAGTATATAGTTGGTGGTATGGACTGACTGCTGACTCATGCTTATCAGCATCTGGCCCTATCATTTTCTCTGAAGTATACATTTGATAGTCTGACCTAAGCTGTTTTGGATAAGGTTCCATTTTATTTTCCCTTTCCTTCTGTGTCAAGAAATCACACCTCCTTTTAACATGTCTCTCCAAGAGCACCAGATCATCACCACTCAGGAACGAGAGGTTAGTTGGCTCTACAAGGCTGGATGCATCTTCTTTGTAAAAAGAGGTGTCAGAAAATTGGCCAGCAAGAATCAGTTGCTTGATACTATCTTGTTCTAAGTTGGAAGGTATCAAATCGGTGGTGTCCTTGACATTAGCCAGCTGCCAGAAGGATTCTGGCACTGAATGGTCAATACCACTGACTGTTGGAATATCAACTAACAGACAACCCATCAGCGATTTTCACTAAAGACAGAGAGAGGTCTCTGGGTGGAGATCATGATCTGATCTCTGATTTGATCTTGTGTAGGAGGGCAAATAGCAACAGGTTTGGGTGAGAAATGGTCCACTAGGAATTTTGAAGCCAAGGGATGAATAGGCTCTGGTAATACTGATTCATTCAGTGCTGCAGGTAACAGTAGGTCAGATAAGGAAGCAACATAGTTAAGTGAGACAGTAGAAGTCAGAGGTGGAGAGGGAGTAGCCAAAGAGGCTGATATTTGGCATCTTAGATGGGTTTTTGAGCAAACAGAGCTCATATGAATGAGCTGTTAATCATAAAAGCTGAGGAAGCCATATAATACACAGAGGAAGTATCATCTAGCAGGTAGCCCAGCGACAGCTCCGTTACATATTGTACAGTGAGTGTCTGGACATAATACATGATGAATGCTGGTGAAATCTTGAAGTTGGCTCAGAGGGCCACAGGAAACAGAAGCTAAAAACTGCAGTCAGGACTATAATGTGGAAATGAGTGTCCATAGGCCTAGTGAGGGTTGGGTTAGCTGAGGCCTATTATTCCCTTCCCATTGCCTCACATCTATGATGTCACATAGATACACTCTGTATTCCCATCTTGCAGTTTTTATCACATACCCATTCCAGTGGCAACTGCCACCCATCACAATAGCAGGCTACACTGATTCCCTGGAATGTATGGGACATGCTAAAAAAAAAAAGTGGAGGGAGGAGGACAGACAAAAGAGGAAAGATTAATCACCTTTTTAGAATAGAAAGAAGCTTCCTTCCCTCTTCTGCTTCTTTCTGGTTAGTCCTTGAAGCTTGGAAATCAGGAGCGTAGAACATAGGAAATGAATGTAAAAGCACAGGAATCATATAGAAGTCCCTATATGAGAGCCTCTTGGAATATTAAACTATGAGAGCTTTAAGAATCAGTAGACTTATAGAATAAATTAAAATATAGTTATTTATTCCTTATGTTACTAATGTTTACAGGTGATCCAATATTTTTAATTGTTCATTCTTTGAAAAGGAGGATTTTTTTTCTATGGGATGCATAGTTCTCAGTGAGATGTCCTCTTCTCAAAAGGACATTGAATCTGAGTCCAACTGTTCCATCTGTGCTTCCTCAGATAAACCTGTACTTTGGGGACAGAATTCAGGCTCCAGCCTCTGATCAGACACTTAGCATTGCTCTCCTGCTCAGCCTAACAGGAATGCTTGGTGAATGGAAAATTGACATGAGAATGGGAATCATGGTCAAGGGCCAGGAGGAATGACCTCCATCAGAGAAGCCAACACTTTTTTGACACCAACAATAAACACCAGTGATATTAAGTGGCAGAGCTTCATGGCACTCACTCTTTCTATACTAATGTCAATTGTATATAATTAATTTGTCCAATTTATAAGGAATTTTACTTCCAGTGATCTTAGTGAATTTTAACAACCACCTTGTGTGGTAAGCAGGACAGATACTATTGTGTCCATTTTATTAATGAGTAAAACTGAAGCAGAGAGATGGTGTTTGATATAGACCACATACTTAGTAAGTACTAGAGCCTTGACTATAGATCACCTAAATACTCAATATTTCTATTTCTAAATAAGTGATTTTTTCAAAGTAAAAAGTATGCCCTAATCCTAAAGTTAATTGATTATCTGGCTAAGAATATTCACTTTATCAACTAAATGTTTGTACATAAAGAAAAACTATTTTTAGAAGTGTTAACACCTCTAATGCAACTTTACCTTTCCACTCTTAGCACCGGTATCTTTACACTGTTTCTCTCTTCCCTCATAACACCTACTTTTATGGACTATATGACCCTTAATAAGGTATACTGTCACACACACACACACACACACACACACACAAACACCATGACACATTTCACACATCACATTTTTTTATACCTCTAAACCCAGATAAGCTATAACCAGAGAATTTCCATCAAGCAGTGGGAGGGGGCAGAGGTAGCTTCTAGTCAAGTGGCATTCCCCTCAGCATCCCATATCTTCTCAGTGGACCTATAATATACCACCACACACAACATTGTCCCAGGTTTCTCATGTACTTCTCTAAGTCTCCAAGAAGCAATATTTTCCAAAACTTCTATTAGAGTAAAATGCTATCATTTGAAGTTACTTAATAAAAGTAAGTTCTTACTTTAGAATTCTCAGATGTTCTGAATTTCCCGGGAATATTCTTCAATGCTGTCTCACTCTTGTGTTGACCACTGTTCTTGGGATGAACCACTTGGAGGAAGCTATTTTCACAGTCCTCTAAAGCCTGAAGAAGAACAGATTCTGAAGCAAGATCCTTTAAAACTACCTTTGAAAATGGCTGAAGGATGTCCTTCATACGTTTACACAGCAAATAATTATCCACTCAACCATATGGTATTTCCAGTACTGTAGAAATATCAACAAAATAAAACACTACCTCTGCCCTTGAGCAATTCATAGTCAGGAAGTGAGACCTGAAAATAACTTTAATAAAATGTGATATAAACTATAAAATACATAGGATATATACCCAATAGGAACACATAGAAAGAAGCAATTGATTAGTCTGCTAAGGGGGAGGGGTGAAAGTGGTCAGGTGCATTGGCATCAACTCTCTGAAATTACGCCTTGAGAAATATTAACATATTACTACTACTACTACTCTCCCTCACACTCCTTCTCCTTTCCTTTCTCCTCCTCCTCCTCCTCCTCTTTAAAAGACTGTACTTTTTAGAGCAGGTTTAGGGGTCACAAAAAATGTCCTTAGTGTGCTGTACCTTGAGATTTAATGCTATAACTACTACTCAAACAGTATTTTTCACTTTATGTTTCTGTGTGGGAGCAAACTGTTGAAATATTTACTTAATGTTTGCTAACATGATCTTCTGTATATA